CTCAATCCAAAATTAATTAGCACTAATTTTTTTATATAATAGAATGCAAATGAGAATTTAACCTCTAATCACTTCTTGTAAGAACTTGATCGAAAATTGGGGAAAATGTAAATTGAATACAGAGCCAAAGTTGTTCTTTTTTAGTGATATTTTTATTAACATGATTTTCATAATATGTTTGCATGAATGTTCAATCAATAAATTAAAATTTTACTATTTCAATAATTTATATAATATATGTTTACATATAACTTAAAAAACAAAGTAAAAATTAAGCAAAACTGACAAAAGGGCAATTCTGTCATTTTACATGAATTCCAATTCCATTTCCTGCCAACCAAACAGCATATGGAATTGGATTCAAATTCCTGACAGATTCCTTTTCCAATTCCAAATTCAAATTCCTTCAGCAACATTCTACGAACCAAACAACACCTAACTAAAATAAAATTGGAGTGTATATATGGTATGACAAAATTGCCCTTCTTTTATATTTCAGAGTATTATGTTGCAGTGTAAATAACTTATAAATAATCAAATTACTTTATTGTTAATTAACTTCTCCGGTGTACCTTTTTCATATATATACTAAAAACTAGAAAGGTTACTCCCGCTACGCGGGGGCCAGAAGCTTTCAATGTTGTTTCCGAATTGATAAATATGACAGACATAGAAAGTGCAAGGATGAAAAGTCCGGGCTTTGCCCCTGACAAAAAATGTAAAAGTTTTGACTGCAAGGACCAGAAGTGTGAAAATGGCTAAAGAATTAAAGGGGTAGGAATTAGCAACTTTTTAGAAAAGGGATCAAAGTTGTCAAACCGTTAAAGTTTTGTGGCCAAACTTTAAATATTAAAAGGTTCCAAAAAAATGTAAAAATATTGATTGCATGGACCAAAAGTGTCAAAATGGGTAAAGAATAATGACCAAAGTTGCCAAAAAACATCCAAATTTAGTATTCCTAACTTCCAACAATAATACATGGACCAATTCTGCCAAAAAAATGGGAAGTTGAATGGAACACAAAAAAATGACATGAATAAATTAATTAAAGAAGTACAGAGACCGGATATGTAAATCAATGGACCAAACTTGGACAAAGTATCCTTGTTTACTATTCCTTTCTTCTACAACTTTAATATATATATAATAATGTCAATTAAAGGCTCTCAAAGATGGTTATTACTATTTACCTATTTGGAAAGATGTTATCGACATATTCACGAGTAAGCTTTTTGATTGGAAAGTCAAAATTTTGTCGGTCGGAGGCTGCTCGACGCTCCTCAATCCGATTTTGGAAAGTGTTGCCAATGTATTTTATGTCCATATTTCGTGCTACATAAATGGTTATTACTTGTTTAATTAGAGTCCCTCATAAATTAGTTTTTTTTTTTTTTTTTTTTTTTTTTTTGTGGATGGTGATTTTAGGTGGAAAATTCATTTATGTAAAATAGAAGAAGGTTATGCAAGGTTCTAAACGGTGTGAGTTGTGGTGTGGAGGAAACGTCAAACATTAAGCATTACGAGACATGACGATTCATGATACGTGACTAAAAGCGACAATTTAGTATATATATATAAAATAAAAGAAATCACATAATTATAGATTTATATAAAATCTATCAAGTTTTTAAAAGAGATATATTAACTGTATTAATAAAAAGTTAACAAAAACTAAATGATGTCATGCCCTCTCTGAAAAAAATGCCTTTAAAAAACTCGTGTCATAATGCGTATTGACCAGCATTCGCATGTGTTGCGCCTACCATTATTGCGCTGCAAGTTTTCGAAATGACATCGTCACGCCTCGCGTCATGGTACGACTTGGCGTATGTCATGGTGAGGCTTCTAGAACCATGAGGTTTCACAGTGAAAAACATTTATGCGTTTAATAGGGGGTTTCCTTTTTTAAAAGGAAGTGGAGTTTTCTTAAAGATCTGCAGTGGCGAGACTATGTTATGGGAAGGTACGTCACTTGACCTACCTAAAATTAAAAAGTTTATGACAAGTCATATACAAAAAACATTTAGGACCTACCTTAAATATTTTGAGGGACTTACCTTAATGTGTTTGGTAAAAAGAAAAAGGAAGAAAAAAAAAGATATAAACTAAATGCATATCATAAGTGGGATTAAGTAGTCCTACATTAACTCTAAGAAAACAATGGTTTAGGAGTATTCTATTATAAATAGATGCGTCTTCTTTCACATTTGTACAACATAAGCTTGCTGATGTCTGGTTTAGACTGACTAACTCCAAGTAGCTTTTATTAAAAAAAAATTAAGGAATAACCGATTTGGGCTCAGCCATTTCAACAACAATTTTTATACATGCTAAAACAGTTATTTTCTTGGTGAACCAACTCGATTGAACCTATTTTTTTACCCGGTCCAACTTTTAGTGAACCATATGGTTTTCCATTCTAAATTCGCCACTGACGATCTGGGTATCTTGTGGGTTCTAAGTCATTAAAATCATATAGGAAGACAATGATCATTTGTGCATGGTTATACCCCTTGGTTATGTTTTTTTCACATTGGGTGGGTATTTTACGATAATCCATTCAACTTAGAGATGAATGTATTGATCTTGATTAATTTTGATTGAAAAAGTCGATGATGGAAGGTTAACTCAATTTTGTGAGGATACCTGGTTGGGTGATACTTTCTTTTCAAAACCACTTTCCTAAAGTCTATCAAGTAAACCCGAATAAGCTAGCTATGGTTAATAATTGTTTGCCTATTGATATATGGACTTCTTGTTGGCATCGAGATTCGAGGGTAGGGGTGATTTGAACCAGATGAATGATTTAAAGAACTTCTTGCAACAAATTATTTCGTCAGATCAATGTGATAGACATATGAATGGGTAACTATGTGGTTTCACTGGCAGCATGATTTATTTAGAAATAAACATTAGTTAGTGAGGGATTCTCTAACGTTTCTATTAAGGTGAATGTGTTGGCTTGAAAAATGAAGTCCAACAAACTTCCAACTAAAGCCAAATTGTACAAACGATTGATTGAGGTGGATTTTTTATGTGTCCTGCGTGATTCTCAAATTATAAACTTGGACCATATCCATTTTCCTTGCTCTCCCGTGATTTCTATTATGGGTCCAAATTACATGTTGGTGGAACATTGATATGCTAACTATCTCTAATTTGTCAGTGTTTCAAGAACGGCAAAATCAATGCATGCTTAGTAGACTCCAAAATGCAATTCTCATCAAAGCCTTTTGGGTGTTGTGGAGGTATTGGAATGAGTATTTTTCGGAGCGCTCAAACTAAAAAGAACAATTTTATTTGATTACATCGTGTCTTAATCTTTCTTTTGGTTCTTTAGTTATAGTTCGAAACGGAAAACTGAAAATGAATTTTAAGCCTTTGCTTTATAAATCGGTTAGTTTTAATTTGTTTTTTACGATCATGCTAGTTATTTATAAACTTCCAGTTGTTGCAAAAAAATGTTTGTATTTTTATAAGGGCTAATGGCACAAAAACCCTCAAATTTGCACAAAATTGACGGATTTGCCCAAAGTTCAAATTTAGGTCCATTTTTGCCTTAAACTTGCATTTAATGTGTCGTTTTTGCCAAGTAGTCGGTTTCCCTTTAATCAACCGGTTACCACTTGATGATACTTGACATTTATCATTTAATAACTCATTCACAGACATCCTCGTGTGCAATTGATCCCTTCGACCCCCACAGTTAGTCACAGACTACAACGGAAAAATGACAACTTCGTCTTCAAGATCAAGCTTTAATGGTGGTACAAGAATGAGGAACAAGAAGGTAATAAGATGCGACTGTGGTGATGTTTGTGGTGTATCAGTCTCACGAACACCTGATAACCCAGGACGAAAATTTTGGGGCTGCCCTAATTATCAGGTAAAAATCTATTTATTTTTGTACTAATTTCTCCCTAAAATTTTAGGGCTGCTCTAACTTCCCAAAGAGGAACGTATATAATAGAACCCTAATTTTTTTTTTTGTTGTAGGTGGAAGGAGGCAACTGTGGTTTTTTCAAATGGGCGGATGAAGAACTAGGTCAAAATATGGAGATGTGACATACAGAGGAGATCAAGCCATTGTTAGAAGTGATCATAGGGTTGTTAGTGGTTATATCGCTGATGCTAGGAATAGTGGTTATTAAGATATAGTTTTGTTGGTTTTTCCTGTATTAGTAATATATTAAGCATAATCAAGAATTGTTACATCTTTGTAATGTTTTTTTTGAACGGCTGAATGTTACATGTTTGTAATGTATTAAGGGTATTAATGGTAATGTTACTAATGGTAGTTAATTGCTATCTCATGTATATGTTGCATGAATGGAAGTACAATGAAAGTACATTGCATAAAAGGAATTGTACTAAAATACCCTTGGTTACATTCATAATGAAAGTAAACTTTGCATGAATGGAATTGCACTAATGTATTAAGGGTATTTATGGTAATGCTATTAATGGTAGTTAATTGTTATCTCACTTTGCATACGGCTGAATGTTGCACTAATGGTATTAATGGAATTGCATGAATGGAATTGCACTAATGGTATTAATGAAATTACATGAATGAAAGTACATTGCATGAATGGAATTGCACTAATGGAATTGCATGAATGGAATTGCACAATGAAAGTACATTGCATGAATGGAATTGTACTAAAATACCCTCGGTTACATTCACAATGAAAGTAAACTTTGCATGAATGGAATTGTACTAACTTGCATAAAAGGAATTGCACTAATGAAAGTACATTGTTAATGCTTAACATGTACTAGAAAATAAAATAAAAACATCATGGTTACCATAATAGGGGGCATCCATTATAAACCTTAATATAAAGCATCCATTACATAAGTTTTGCTAGTATGTAGCAGCCATCCATTTTGTATACCAAAACATGAACCCAAAAGCCTAAAAATCACCCAAAAAAGGCAAGCCATAATGTAACACTAAACAAATGGATGTATGCTGCAAGTAGTGGGTGTATATCAAAAAATAACCAAAAAGGGCTACCTATACAATTGCCCAATGATACCATCCCCACTTTTGCCCCCATATACCTAGGTAACTACTCCAAATCTACTGGATAGCTAGATGTGGAACCCCTTCCATCTTTGTCAAAACAAGGTTTCTTCAGCTTTTGCAGGATGATCCTTTCTGAGGGCTTTCTTGTCCTTCTAGGTGGTACATGCCCTTCATCATCAACATCATTTCCCTCCATATCTGCTGCATCATCCTCACCAGCACCATCACCTTCATCCTCAATATCACCATCACCCTCTCCATCATCCTCACCAGCACCATCACCCTCTCCATCACCCTCACCAGCACCATCACCATCACCATCACCCTCGCCTGCTACTTCATCAACATCATCACCCTCACCATCACCCTCATTTTCCTCCACACCCTCATTTATAAGACCATCATCTTCATTACCTTCCATCACACCATCAACATATGGAATATCCTCAACTTCATTCACATCCTGTTAATAAAAATATGAAGAATACTTATTAATAAAATATATAAACATGTTTGTTACTAATGTTAGCAATTATAAAATGATGATGTCAAACTAACCATCTCAACTGCTGGCATATCATCCAATTCAACTTTGAACCCTCTCATGCTCTCTATTTCAGCCATGCTATATCCTGCCCCAAGTAGGTCTGCTACACTTTCTAGATCTAGCATCACCATCTCTGGGAGAACATCACTTGCATTTCCTTCAGTGAATTCAGGTTCAGGATTATCCTCATTCTCAGATTGACTTTTTTGATCAATACCTTTAAGAATAGCATCCATTGCATCTTCAACCTCATCAAGTGTTTTTGTCAGGTCAGGTTCAACATCCTCAACACCTCTGTCATCATTAGCATGGAGAATACTTTGAATAATAGCATCCATTGCATCTTGGAATCCATCACCTTTCTGATAATTATCCTTTGATTGGCTAAGAGAAGCTTCAAAAGTGCACATCATATCAACCAAACTGTCATCATCAATATCTTCTTTGTCAAACAAATCTTTCACTTGTTCCTCACATCCCCTACCTTCAACATGACCATCTAAACCATCATGTTCATCAAGTAGAACTCTATCTTCCACAATGCCACCACCTTTTTTATCCCCAACTTCTTTTTGCTTTTAACAGATTTAGAACCTGATGCTTGATTTGGGTCAGATTTGACCTTTTTCCTTGGCCTTCCTTTCTTCTTTGGTGGCATAGGAACTGCTTCCTGCCTCTCAGACCTATCATATGATGCTTGACTGGGTTCAAATTGTTCCTTCCTAGGCCTTCCTTTCTTCTTTGGTGGCATAGGGACAGGTTCCTGCCTCTCAGACCTATCACATGCTGCTTGACTGGGTTCACATTGTTCCTTCCTTAGCCTTCCTTTTTTCTTTGGTGGCATAGGGACAGGTTCCCTGGTTGCATTCTTGCATCCCTTCTGGTTATGGCCATACTCAAAGCACTTACCACACCTTACAGTTCTTGGGGTGTGTACTCTTCCATCATTTTCAGTTACATGTCTCCTTCTATTGACCTTTGGCCTACCAGGCATTCTCCTTGACACTGGTGGCAATGGCTTTATGAATTCAGTTTGAGGCCATAGATTTGAACAATTTACTGGACTAATGATAGCAGAGTAACACTTAAGGAATTGTTCCTTGGAAAACATGTCATCAATATACTCATCAGGTGTTTGATGGATATAGTTGATAGTTGCAATGACATGAACACATGGGATCCCAACCAGATCCCATAACCTGCAGGTACAATGCCTTCCATCTAAATCCACCATGTAGCTATCACATCCTCTCCTTGCTTCAAACACATGTTGTTGACTATGAATTATTAACCAAAACCTGCATCCACAAGTTACATGTTAAAGTGTTACCTAATGAAATTAAAAGAAAAGTTATATGTTAAAGTGTTACCTCATGTTCTTCCCAAAAAGCTTCATATTCTTTAACACTGCTGGACATATACGGGTATTCCATTTAGTGCTTTCCTCAATCATGTGAGTAAACCTATCCATGATGTATATCCTTATTTCTTCAAGCATTGTGATCAATGGTTTTTTCCTAGCATCCACAATGATGGATTTGAAGCACTCTGATATACCATTCTCCACTTCCTCACATGCATACCCTGTACTCATGTAAGCTCTACACCATGTTTCGGGTTCTTTGGACATTAGATGATCATATGCACCAGGATTGAGCTTTTTAATTTTGTCCATATGTCTCTTGAAATCACCTTCCACACAGCTCATAGCTGCAGCCCAAAACAGCTTCTTGAACTCCAACCCAGTGTAAGCTTTTATAAAATTTGCATATATGTGTCGGGCACATTGCCTGTGCTCCACATGTGGCAATATATCTTTAACAGATTGCAACAAACCCTATACAAAAACCAGCATACATGTAAGTATTTATAAGTAATTTGAAAAGAATTAATATGTTATAAAGAAACTTACTTTATGTTGATCTGATATAACTACCAAGCCCCTTCCATCAATAAGGTCTAGATCACCACTGAGTAGCTCAAGGAACCAAGTCCAGTTGGACTTATTTTCCACATCAACAACAACCCAAGCAATTGGATAAACCTGGTTGTTGGCATCTCTACCAATGGCTGTTAGCAGTTCACTTTTCACCTGCCCCTTTAGAAAGCACCCATCAAGCCCAATTACTCTCCTACATCCTCTTTTCCAGCTAACACTTAGTGCTTTGAAACAAATGTAAAACCTATGAAAATAATTCTTTCCATCTGGATTGGTTGTTACACCAACTTGACATGTGGACCCCGGGTTTGACCTTAACAATTCATGGGCATAATCCCATATCCTTGCATAATGCTCAGTGAGTTTACCTTTTATTAAAATTTTGGCCCATTTCCTTGCCCTTCTAACCTGTCCTATAGATACCACACACCTATACCTTTGTCTGATGTCATCAATCATTTCCTGAAGTTTCATCTTTGGCTTATTTGCAATTTCAGTCACATAATGTCTTCCAATCCATTCAGGGGACACAATGGATCCAAATTTAAACTGCCTAGAACATTTATGGTCACCATTCATAGCTTTGATCTGAAAAGATCTTTCTTTGTACATCCATGCAGCATAAATTCTGAAAGGGCATTTATTCTCTTCCTTCCTATTGCCACATCTAGCTACAATTCTTTTACTATCACATTTTTCAAAGTATATTCTATAGCCATGTGAGACTGCATAATTGGTGACACAAAACTTCAGTTGGGTAGGGGATTCAAAGATGTCACCAAGCTTTGGTACCATCTTGTCCCACTTGATGGTTGGGTCATGAATTCTATAGTTGTTTTTCAATACCTCCTGTTCATCTTCATCACTCTGCCAATCGGTAGCATGATACACTTGTGCTCTGATTTCATCTGCCATACTAGAATTTCGTAGGTTTTCATCACTTAATAGAACATTTAGGAATATATCCTTACATTTATAATTTATAAAGTGAGGACACAAATTCTTCCTCTGGTTCGTGGTCCATGTAAATACCGTGGAGTTCAAAATCCATTTTTACTCAAGCCAGCAAATGGCTCATGTATGCCAGCAAAGGGGTCAGCGTACCCATCGTCTGATGAAGCCATTACACCTTCCTGCATCAACACACTAACTTTAGGAACACATTTCAAGAAATGTTAAATGTAAACGTAATTTCAGTCAACCTGTAAAAACCTTACCTTTCGAAGAAATGTTGAAGAACACTTTTAACCTAATCGTCTCCAAGAAAACCCTTTTTTTTTCTCTGTGTACACAGTCGATGAAATGGGAAAAGGTGATGAGTGATCGGGTTATAGAGGGAGATGAGATGCGACAGTTTAACGTATGTAACGGAATTGGAGATTTTTCCAAACGACGTTAATTAGCCTTCCACCTAAACAAGTGGTAACCGGTTGATTAAAGGGAAACCGGCTACTTGGCAAAAACGACACATTAAATGCAAGTTTAAGGCAAAAATGGACCTAAATTTGAACTTTGGGCAAATCCGTCAATTTTGTGCAAATTTGAGGGTTTTTGTGCCATTAGCCCTTTTTATAATTATATTGATTATACTAGTTCTATGTGTATTTGATTATATGGGAAAATGACATAAAAGCCATTAAGTTTTCACAAAAATGTCGGTTTTACCCTTGGACGTGTTTTATGTCCAGTAATGCCTGAAGTTTTGTTTAATTTGCTCATTTTTACCCTTGTAGCCGGTTTCCAGGTAACCTACCGGTTACCTAGGTTACCTAATGCCAGTAAAGCCCTTGAATTTTTAAAAATGATCGGATTTACCCTTTAGTTTTTCAAAAATGTTCGAATTTACCCTTACCTTGATTGTTATTTTGATTATTATTATTATTATTATTATTATTATTACATTTTTAATTGTATAAAAATATTTTATACATACATTTTTAAATGTATAAAAATATTTCATACGTTTTTAATACATTTTTATACATATTATTATTATTATTATTATTATTATTATTATTATTATTATTATTTTTAATTCATTTTTAAATGTATTTTGATTATTATTATTATTTTTTTTAATACATATGAAATAAATATATATTTATTTCATATAAAAATATATTATATACATATAAGGGCTAATGCCATAAAAGCCCTTAAGTTTTCAAAAAATTATCGGTTTTACCCTTTGGCCTCTTTTATGTTCGTTAAAGCCGGATATTTGATTTAATTTTTTCACTGATGCCCTTTTAGGGAGTTTTTCAGTCAACTACCGGTCACCAATATTGAAAGAAATTGATTGTGCTCTTTTTCTTCACTTCTTTCTTCTCTTCTTTATTTTGCATCTCTACATCAATAAAACCTGCAACAAAGAAACCATCCCCATCCTACATCATCAACACAAACACCATCTCTGCCACCTGCGATATTCAAATCTCGTCATCCCAGCCACACGCCTTCTTAATAATCATCCAACCATCACCATCTTTATGGAAACAAAAATGACTGTCTTAATGTATACACATATACGCCCTATGTATATGATAGAGACAAAGAACAGAAAGTTCCAAAATGACAAAGCACGTCCTCTTTCTCTCACAGGTATAAGAAAATGATGCATATGTACAACTATGTACAACTAATGATGAAACATCCCAAAAATACGACCCAAAAATTTTTGTTTAAACTTTACTAAAAACCATCTCATCAATATCATACATACTAAAAATCATAACTGAGTAACTCAAAAGTCATGTGACTGTGTCAAAACAAATACTGTATCAACAATATCAAAATATCTGAATAAAACTCCCAGGAATAAACTGAAACTATGGTGTGTGCCATGTCATCATCCCAAGCTCTTCCCTTTACTTGCGGAAGTACCTGAAACCAAAACTGAAAACTGTAAACACAAAGCTTAGTGAGCTCCCCCAAACTACCACATACCATACAATAACATATAAGCAACTACTGGGCCTTGCCCACTGCATCGGACCGAAGTCCGGAAACTGCATCGGACCGAAGTCCGGAAACTAACCAGGGCCTTGCCCTCTGCATCGGACCGAAGTCCGGAAACTGCATCGGACCGAAGTCCGGAACACATAACACAACATCATGCTTGAATCACAAAGACATCAAGCACACTGAACTACTGCATCAGACCGAAGTCTGGAACTACTGCTAACTAAACGGGCCGGCATTGTGGCCGTAGACCCGTTCCTACTGGAAGGAAACTCACCTCGTAACGCTGACTGTCGAGATGCTAAATCTGAAACTGGCTGACCGCTGCTCCGGAATTCCTCGGCTACAAATCCCAAAACACTAAATCAAATACGGATAACTAATCGCAGGGCAAAGTGACTATTTTACCCCTGGTCAAAGTCAACTTCCCGGTCAAAGTCAACTTCCTGGTTGACCAGACTCGCCGAGTTGGCTCGCCAACTCGCCGATTCCCTTCCATCTGTTCTAGATTTATACCCGCTTCTACTCGTCGAGCTTGGCGAAGACTCGACGCGTTCTTCTTCGATGCACACATACTGAGTCCAAGTTCATCCGACTCGCCGAGTTGAATAACAACTCGTCGAGTCTAAGGCAATCTTCATCGAACTCGCCGAGTTGCTCAACCAACTCGCCGAGTTCACGGCTATCTTCATAGGACTCGCCGAGTCCAGCGTTCTACTCGCCGAGTTCATTCAGTCCTTTTTCCATACAGGCCTGGTTTGAGCGATGCAGCGGCTCCAAACCACAGATCTAGGCTTCTAGGGCATGCCTATCACGTAAAGTTGCAAACTTTACATGCATGCATAGCTTTAAGGGCTTCAAATGTCAAAACTAGGCTCTTAATGGGGTTCTAAGCTCAAGAGGGACCTCAATCACGAACATAACTGAGACTTTACACCTCTAGAAGGTAATGAGGGTCCAGATCGGAAGTGTAACCCAACCATAAGGTTTCTCTACCAAGGATTTGGGGTTTTAGGGCTTAAAAGCAACAATTTAGGGACAAATAAGATCTAATAGATCAATAATCAAGATGGAAACTTTATTACCAGAATGGATGACCACAAATGAATGTGTTCTGGATCTAAGTCCCCTTCCTTGAGCTCTTCAACCCCTTCCTTCTTCCACTTGCTCCAATGTGCACCAAAAGTCCCTTCACAAGGCAACAATCGCTCAAACTCACCAATGGAGACTAGGGTTTCGATAAGGGATGCTCTGAGGGTGATGGGGGCTGAGATGGGGCTATAAGGACGTTTAAATAGGGTGCAAACCCTAAGGATTAGGGTTTCCTCCTGACTGGCCTACTCGCCGAGTCCAGGCGTGGACTCGCCGAGTAGATCACTTAAAGCCCGCGTCCAATTCGACATCTACTCGGCGAGTTAGGGCTACAACTCGCCGAGTAGCTCTTACAAAAAGAAACATTTAATCAAATTAAATACGTACCAGGAACGGGGCGTTACAAATGACCTTACGCTCGTATAAGAGAAAAGGGGCTAGATAATTAACTTCCCCTTCATAAAATACCCATGAATCAGATGTGTCAATATATGAATTAGGCTTCATGTTTCTTGAAAGAATCAATCGAGCAGAATCCATCAAGCAAAGCGTTAGCTTTCATGGTCTTTTTCAACTTACACAATCTCTGAATCCTGATGTAAAACCCAACAATCATGGTGCCTGTTTGATGCCGAATGTGGTTGTAATTGGCTTGAATTTCTTTCTGGCCATCTCGACAGCCACTGAGAAGTATGAACTTGATGAACCTAACTGAGACATTTTATCGAACAGTTGGAATGCGTTGGTTAACGACGTTAGTAAAGCTGCCCGACAAATTTCAATAACTCCATTTGGGTGAATGAATTTGAGTGTTGGTAGCTCCCCTGTTCATCAAATATGAAAACAATAAAGAAAGAAGCGATGAGGTTCAAGATAGATTCAAACTGAAGTTGTTTCGTATTTGGGATGCCAAGATCGATTTCATTGGGTAGACAATGCTCTTACCAGATAGAAATAAAAAATCGTTTCTTGAAACCCGATTTGTAGATAGAAATAAAAAACGAAGTAACTCCAAATATGAAAATAATGAAGAAAAAAGTGGCGGGGTTCAAGATAGCTTCAAACAGAGTCGTTCTTCTCAATAATCCATCCCTCAATCGATTTTGGTGTGTGTTGTGTTAGAAAGCTTCTCAAGAGAAACCTGCAAATCAATTTTGGAGTGTGTGTTTATGTGTGTGAAGGAGACGACAAGGAAAGTAGAGAGGGTAACCGGCTAACCGGTTGTTACCTGTTAAATGACAATTTTGACACAATTAGTCCAAATATTAGGCTTTAATGAACACAAAAGAGACCAAAGGGTAAAACCAACAATTTTTTAAAAACCTAAGGGCTTTTATGGCATCAGCCCTACATATAAATATAAAAATATGTATTTATATGGTTTATATTATATAAAAGATATAATTATATGTATTTGTACATATTACCAAGTATAAATATGTATTTATTATCAAACATCATACTAAATAGATAAGCAAAATAAATATTCATTAATTAAAAACATAACGTAACAATTATAAAACCCTCGTAATTAGAAAACCTCAATAAAAACACTCGATTACAGATAAGATTTAGTATAAAATTTGAAAAAACCTCTATTATTCAACTATATTAGGTTAATAGTGAGTAGATAACAATAAATGATCAACAAATAACACTCGTAAATGGAAAATATACAGAATATAATTCAAAAAAACATCGACAAAAACACTTGATCACCGTAAAAATTAAGTATTATCAACTTAAAATCATTCATTAACTGTTTTTATCTCAAAAATTGATAACAAAATGTCAAATACGAGTGTAAACTTCATTGATGATTGTAAGTTCACAAAAAAATCACGAAATGCATCAATTTTTATATTGATCTGAAGCATTTGTTTTTGCAAAATCAGTCATTGACGACATTTTTTACTTTATCAAGCTTTTTCTGTTCGATTCAACAATTATAGATGAAGATTTAGGGTTTTCAAATGTATATAAATACTAAATACAAGTACATATATTTTTAAAAATATATTTATATTAGGAAAAATATTTTTATACATTTAAAAATGTGTGTATAAAATATTTTTATACATTTAAAAATGTATGTATAAAATATTTTTATACAATTAAAAATGTATTAATAATAATAATAATAATAATAATAATAATAATAATAATAACAACAACAACAACAATCAATGTAAGGGTAAATCCGAACATTTTTGAAAAATTTAAGGGTAAATCCAAACATTTTTGAAAATTCAAGGGCTTTAATGGCATTAGGTAACTGGTAGGTTACCTGGAAACCGGCTACAAGGGTAAAATTGAACAAATTAAACAAAACTTTGGGTTTTACTGGACATAAAACACGTCCAAGGGTAAAACCGACATTTTTGTGAAAACTTAAGGGCTTTTATGTCATTTTCCCCTTGATTATATCATAGATGACAAGCAAATAGATGGAACGCATAAAAATAAATTATAAATAATTAACATTTTATTATCTTTGTTCGGTTTACTTGTTCATATTTATGTTTCAGAAAGGTGAGATACATCGTTCAAACCATCATATCGATGTGCTTTACTACTGAAATCTTGTCGTCCCATTGATCTCAAAAAGGCTAAATATTTGCTTCACTCTGTCTATGTTCGTCATGTAAGTCAATGGCATGTTAAAACGAGGTTAGAAATAATGATGGCGAATGTTTGGTGGCAGAAGTTTTCACTATTAAGTGGGAAATTTTCATAAAAAAAAATTGGTTTGGATGTTTATTGTATAACCAGGTGATAATAAATAGGAAATGAGTACGATTTAAGAATTAAATTTTCTTATCATGGACTTAAGGTCTAATGGAAATTTGAAAAGCATATTGCTATTATGTGTTTATGACTCGTTATAAATGATGAATTTTCGTTAAATGTTAGACCATGGAGAAAATAATTGGGTTAATGCAAGTTACTGGCAAAAATATGAAAAAGTAAACTTATAAGATTGAAGCTTTACTAAGGCAACAGTGCCTAGCCGGTCATTTGGGCTTATCTATGTTTTGGGCTTATATCAGTGTTGAGTCTGTCTGTTTGATTTATCCAAGTATTCAACTTGTCTAAGTGTTGGGTCTATCTAAATGTTGCACATATCTAATTTTAAGTGTTAAACTTATCTAAGTGTTAGGCAACAGGGTTTATGAGTTTATCTAAAAGTTGGGTCACTGTGAGTACAGGATCTTGGTGTCACTTATATATGGATTTAGGTTAGAATTGTCACTAAACAACTCTTAGTTGGGATGATAATGAATGGAATTAGGCCAGCTTGAATAAATCTAGAATATACCTAAGTTTGGTGGCAAGTGTGTAGGGTTTACAAAGCCTCTTTCACTTACTTTTTGAGAAGAAAAAGAGATAAAACACATAGAATTGGGATACAAATCTGAAATTGTGTTGGGATAAAAAATGATAGTGTATTTTCCACCGATTTTAACCTTAATCAACCTTATTCATGCTTCAAATTATTTAACAGACAACGGTTCCTTTGAAATATTATAATAGTTACTTCCGAAACATTTTGCTAACCAATCGCATCCCAACTTCTGACAACACAACATTAAGACTAATAAAATTATTTTTCAATATTTCAAACTTTAGCACATAAAAGAAAACAGGGATCACATGTGCACACGAGATCTAATAGCCGACTGATAAGTTAATGTGCTTAATGAGAACTTAATGTGCTTAATCGGTAAAGCACTTAAAATACATTCTAAAACACAAATTGTTATATAAATAGAAAAAACAATAGTGTACGAATCAACTTTTTCAAGAGATCTAACATCGGTGTTTGGTATTGTTTATTTAAAACAACTTATACTTATTTGTAAAATCGTTTATTAGCTTTTTCGGTGTCAAAATGTATTAAGTTGATAAGTTGTTTTTTAGTGTTTTGACAAATTCTACTTATACAAGTAAAATGATCAAAAGGGTCGGATACATATAGGTCCATATTTGCAACCAGAAAATTGACATTGAACAAGGATTCAAATTCAGAAAAGTATTGAAGTCATAATACATATAAAAGATTAGTCGGCATTATAACTGATCATACTCTTCAAGTATCATATCAGTTGATACTGCAGCATCTATTTTCATGAGAAAGTAAATAAAGCATGATTATACAAAATACCAATTACTGCCCTCTGCTGACTGGCTCCAGTGCTTCAACAGTTACCACACTATTCCCTCTTATAACCTGTGTGTTGTAAAAAAACAAATGATATCAATTTATGACAATTGGATTGGATTGGATTGGATTAATCTAAAGAATAAAATAATTCATTCTTATTTAGTCACTTCACTTACCACCATGCCTATTTCGTTTTTCTCTTCACCATTCACTTCAACTGTGTTGTCAATCACCAGGTTCATGAACTGATCAAAACCACGAAGTGTCCCAACCACTGTCCGATTCGCATTCAGCTTGACTGCAATACAAAATTAAAGAGTAAAAAGTAAACCCTTGGTTCTTTTGTTTTCCAATGAACTTCGGTAAGGATAATGTGAGTTTCAACCAAGCACATAGAGGATTATAGTCATCAATACAAAGGATTTTGGTTTTTTCAAGAAGAACGTGTTTAGGCAGCGACAATAACTTACAACAAAACTCGGTAAACAGATAAATGAAATAAGCGAAAACTTACTTTGTAGTTGCTTGTCCATGTACCTGAAATCCAATTAAAAGATTAGTAAGAAGAGTGTCATAATCGGGTGAACAAATACATTACAAATATTACACGAATAATTTGAAAGGATAAGAAAATTTGAGATGAATAAACCCTAATAAACTGTACCGGAGAGAAACTGACAACTTACTTTTTAAGATCTGGAGGTTGACCTGATCTGCTCATGGCGAAACCCTAGGAATGAAGATAGCGAGGATTCGAAGACGATGAGAGAGGGGCCGAATTGGTTGAAATCAGTAAGGTTTAACAAGAGCAAAACCCTAATATCATACGACTACGGAATACGGCTCTTCTATAGTTCTATTTTTACTTGATTTTCTCCCCCTGTATTATGGTTTAATGTCGTTTTTGGGCCTTCAAATTTCTAAAAACTACTGATTCACTCCTTTCATTTAAGTGACGTGATTTTTTTTTTTTTTTTTTTTTGACATTTTTAACTTTAAATCTAAACTTTATTTTATTTTTTACTTTGACAAAACGTCAAAAATGGTTCCTGTGGTTTTCGAAAATATCAAGTTTAATCCCTAAGTTCAAAAAACCTCACAGATGGTCCCTGTGGTTTCAAAACTTTTAACATTTGGTCCTTCCAGCTCACTTCGTTAGCATTTCACCGTTAACTCATTTTTTAATTTTATATTACAGGGGTAATTTCATCATTTCAGTTGTAACCTTCTCTCTTTAAAAGAAATTGCATGTCCGATTTTTAGGCAAACCCTTTACCTTTATCAGTCGTCATCTCTCTTCTCCCTTCCACTGTTGCTCGACCGTTGCACCCTTCACGACATCCAATCGCTTCTTATTCAAAGATGGTGACTTGCAGATGTGGGAATGATTCAAATATATATATATATATATATATATATATATATATATATATATATATATATATATATATATATATATATAGAAGGTAGTTTGAAGTTCAATATAAAATATAGATGACCAACTTATCAAATAAATAGTCATTTTTTTTGGAAAAAACAAGCCCATGAATACTTGAATTTGGTCGCATCCCATCGAATCTTTTTAAGCCCATTATAATAAAATTAAATATAAAGTTTAAATCATTTTTTAATTTTGATTCACACTAACAACAAAATATATTAAGATATATAAACAATTTGACAGATAAAACATTTGAAGTCATATCATAGTTTATGACACAATGCCATCCAAGTGACAAATACATCTTAACCAATCAATTATTGACCAATCTAATCCGTCTTTGTCAACATAATCAACCTATATATACATCGCTTACAAACTCCTCTTTGTTTGTAGGATTTCAACCCATGATGTCAAAATATCCTCAAGTTTTTGTTGCGATAGAAATGTTCCGTAGGAAGACTTGTTCTATCAAGAAATTGGTCAAGAAAGCTACATACAGAACGAGATATCTTAGCTTTGAAAAGTTTTATATTAAACAAGAAAGTTTATTAAGACATGGTATTGAGGGCTACACATCTACATGTATTGCTGCAGCTGCTGCCAGCATCCGAAGAGGGTTCTTTGCTGTTTATGTAGGTGTTGAGAGACAACGATTTGTTGTGCCAACAAGCTGCTTATCTCATCCGCTCTTCAAGATTTTATTAGCCAAGGCTTTGGAAGAGTTTGGGTACAATCAAAAGAACGGTTTGGTTATTCCTTGTAGTGTTGCAACTTTTCAAGAGGTTGTTATGGTGACGAAATGTTGCAGCTGTATGTTTGATTTTGGACATTTTCTCGAAGAGTTTATTATATAAAGGCATTTTTTTATATATTTTTGTTTATTTTTACAAATTCCAAACCAGTTAAGGATTTTAAAGAAATGAAATCCACAAATGCTTCCGGCTCCCGCTTAGTTATGACTGTAAAAAGTTGTTGAATGATTGATAAAACCTAAATAGAAATACGACAAAAAACAACATATAGTTCATCATCGTAAACATTATAAATGTACCTTAAAACATATGCTTTTGAAGGGTCTACTAACATAAAGTCTTAATATTTTAGGAAAAATTTTAATAAAGTCTTAAGAAAAATTAAATAGAAAAACTTAGGAAATTCTTTCAATTTAGCCCATTGTGACATTTTTCAGTAGGTCACCATTCCACATGGCATGCCACATCTCCAGGCATGTGATGATGTGGAAACTGATGTCACATCAACTTGTAACTGCAACCAACATACAACTTTGACTACAAGTGTTTTACAATTTATATCCTTTACTACGATATATAATTATTACATTTGCAACTTTTTTTTAAACGAAGGCAACAGGATTCGAAGCTGCGCCTACTCAAAACATAAACAAAGCCACTTACCAGTTAGGCTATGAAGCTTAACTGAATTTCTTGAATGTCCATTTTTATTAATGTATATACTTCTGAAGATTTAAATACATTTATATTACTATCTTTATTATTATTTTTATTAAATTATGTTATTTTTAAAAAGGCAATGAAATATATTATCTTTTAAAATCTTTTTAGTAATATTATTAAATAAACACATGTATAAATGCTTTTTGAATGCATATTTATACGCATAAAAATATATTTATTTCTAAAAATACATATATATATATATATATATATATATATATATAAAATAAATACGTAAAAAAATAATTTATATGTTTTTTACCTTAAAAAACAAGTTTTTTAACGTTTTCTTTAATATATACATATTTAAATCTTCATAATTGTATACATTAAATGAAATGAGAAGGAATAAAAACAGCAAACCTATATAGGTCAACTGGTAAGTGGGATGCTTTGTGTTGGAAAGGGCGCAGGTTTGACCCCCTGCTGCCATCACTTTTTTAAAAAAAAAGTTGAACGTTTAATAGTCATATATGATAGTAAAGGAAATAAATCAAAAAAAGCTTGTAATCGAAGTGGTAAGTCGGTTGTATTAGAATAGTGGTGGCGCGAGTTTGAAACATCCTCCCTTCATTCATTTTGAAAAAAGTTGGGTTTTTCATTAATAATCAATAATATGATTGTAACACCCAAGGTTGTAAAATTGTCGATTAAAGATATCAAGTTTTAGGGTTTTTGGAAAAAACTCGTAGTCGCGGTGCGAGTATTATAGTGTAGCGTCGCGAGCCACGTGTCAAGTCGCGACACGACCAGTGATGCTTAGGGTTGCCTCATTCTGTCAGCCTCCACCTCTAGAATCATTCATTCTCCCAAACCATAGCCTCCAAAGTTAGTTTTAAGCTATTATTCATGATCTTGTGAAGATTGAAAGAGGAAGGAGACAATTCTTGGTTCAAGGAAGCTTAGCAACAACCTAGATCCAACATTCTCATCTCTTTCCTTGACCATTGTGAGTATAAAGTTCCAAGCATGATTCTTTATCTCTTAGATCTAGAATTTTGAGAAGTTTAGTGTATTTTGCTCGCTTTCCTTGTATTCTTGGATTTGGAGAACTCTAGAACCATATGGATATCTTATGTTGCTTATGGACGCAAATAGGAATACATGCACTTCCCTTTGTCCATGCATAAGTTTTGGTCCTTTTGGGAGTTAACTTTAGAGCTTAGTTGTGATTGAGCCTTATGAATGGATAAAGTTGGAAACTTTATCCATTAAGTCACTTAGAAAGATCATATACGTAAGTTTGGACTTCTATTGGAAATTAAGCAATTAATGGAATAAGTGTATGACATCCCCAATTTCTCGGCCATAAAAGACCGATTTGTTTATGCTTATTTAAAATTCATAGTATCCTTTTTGAGGAATAACATTGCGGAATTCGTTACCAAAAAACATGATAATGATATTATTAAACCATTTCCGAAGAAATGTATTTTATTTATATTAAAACATTGGGATGTCATCGTTTGGGTCCGTTTGGTATACACAGTATACTGTTTGGAAATCTCACTTTAAACACCTCACTAAATCCAGCTTAGACATCATCCCCGTAAATAGATCAATCAGTATAACGACTTGGAATCACTGATAAATCTTGTTTATAGGTTCATAATTATGAAATGAACTTAAACATATGTTATACTTAAAGTACGGTAAGCATAAACTCAACTTACAGGTGGTTTAGCGAGAAACCAAACTCTGCGCGGGCAGAACTTCTAAGCTCTACTTTTCGGGGCTTTCTGATGCTCCGTAGCTTCGCTACTAACACCTAGGAAGTGCTAGAGAAAGGCATTGAGGCCTTTGGGGGGGGGGGGGGGGGGGTGGGAGGGAGTAGGATGGAATGGTGTGAGGAAAAGAGTGAAAATCGAGCTCTATTTATAAGCTGCTAGCGCCCAGTACGCGAGGTGTACTCAAACATTACGTGGGGTGTACTCCAGTACGGTGGGCGTATGCGAGTTACATTGGGCGTACTAAGGCCAGGGGTCGCCATCAGATCGTAAGCTTTGGGGAAGAAGTTGTGGTGCCAGATCATGACACGTGTCGCCCTCTGATTAATCCGAAAATTAATTATCTTGTAAAATCCATAACTTTTTGTATACAAGCTCCATTTTTGACGTTCTTTATATTCACGCGTATCTATCGACGTGATCTATAACTTTCGTTTAGACTCCGTCGGCTAATTTTGACTTTATTTTTATAGTTATATTTTAACATGTTTAGACAGTTAAAGTCCGTAAAAAATTCATAACTTTGTCGTCCGACGTTCGTTTTCGACTGTCTTTATATCGTTGAGCTCCTATTAATGAGATCTTCAATTCTCATTTAGATTATGTCGGCTAATAATCGATCGATCTAAAATTCGATTTCCGAGTTGTACATTGCTATGCTGAATCTTAGAAAAATCATAACTTCTTCAAATGAAGTCAGATTTGGACGTTCTTTATATGCACGCTCCCGGTTTAACGTCTATTACGACTTTCTTTTAGATCACTAAGTCTAAAAAGTATTTTGTCAAAAATTTACTTTTTACGATACGCGGAGCCGTGCCGGTTTAATCGCGAAACTTTGATGGGTCATAACTTTTTCGTTATAAGTCGGATTTTAGCGTTCTTTATATGTACGAAATCCTTGTGACATATACTATAACTTTGGTTAAGATTCTTTATCATAAATAATCTTATATCAAAAAGTCATTTTTAACGCTTATTATCTCTAAATTGAGTAGCCCGAATCTGGGGGGTGTTACAATTATCTCCCCTTAGGATGATTACGTCCCGAAATCATCAACAAAACAGGGCGTGTATAATGACTCTATATGTTATCTTTTCATCCTAGGTAATAACCGTAACTCTTATGTCCTTTCAAATGGGTATCTAACTTGTGGACTTCTTGATTGTTGGTGGTGCTCAATCTTGCACCCGCTCTTCGTACTATGTTGGACTTTCAATCATAACCTTCGAGTTACAAACTCGATCTTTATTAGAGACTCCTACTCCTTATTAAATAGAATTAACTTAAGATAAGTTCTTTACTTCGATTACTGTAACAGACAGATGGGTCATGTTCTAATAACCTCTCGTCGTATGATGTAATGCTTAGACTCAAGTCTTTTAGAGTCAAATTCTAGAATGGAAGATACCTTCCTTCATGTTCTAATGTGGTATAATCACATTCTAGCATGTATCTCTTCTAGTTACAAGATTCTTACTTTCACGGTGATTGCGATACTTCTATTGATCGCTTCGATTATCTTTCACTTCGATTTTCTGGCTTAAGTCGATGCTACATTGAACTTGGTTCTCTGAACCACGTAACATACTCATCTTATCCGGATCCAATTTGATATGACCACTAGGTTCGGAATATCAATCATCTTCTTGGTCATTACCGAAACGATGGTAACGACATACATGAACAAAACAGAATCAATTACTAGTGCATTGGTAACCTTGTGACTTTCCCTCATCCAAGTGTGAGTCCCGTGCTTCCGATAGTATAAGCCTCTACTACCTTTCACACCTACTCATACTCGTCCTAAGAATTTCCTCTTAGTTTTCCAAGTCACCATATAAGAATTTCACATAGTCATTTAACACATTAGATAACATAACTAAGGTTTATATTATTTCTTGAAATAATTACATAGATATTCAAGTTCACCCTATACTATGCCTCTTATATTAGGCTACACCACATGATACTATCTGTAACATCCCAAAATTTAAGACCAAAATTTTCATTTTTAATTTAATAATTCATAAAACAAATTTTTGAAAACATCATCAAGTTATCTCATTTCATAAAAACCATTAAGTCATATATCCCAAAAACATGTCATAAGATAATAATGTCAGAGTACAAATCCCAAGAATCTCATGTGCGAAAAATCATGTGTGTGATGCGCTGCAATCATACCGGCTCCTTTCCCTTCGAAGATGAAGTACCTGAAACCAAAATTGTAAACCATAAGCACGAAGCTTAGTGAGTTCCCCCATCATACCACATATCATACGATAAACATATTGTCAGACATATCTGGGTGTCCGACTTATCCTGCTGAGCATACCGGGGTGCTCAACCTACCCCCGTTAGGCATAACGGGGTGCCCAACCTACCCCTGTCAGACATACCGGGGTGTCCGACCTACCCCTTCGGTTTATCTAAACCGGTTACGGGGACTACTTCACCCCTACCACTACCACATAATAACATATCATAAACATATTACTAGGCATATATGGGTACTGTCTACCCCTTCGGTCTCTTTCAACCGGTAACCGGGGACTATTTCACCTCTCCTACCACTATCACATAATATTATAGCATACTAGCACATAAATCATAACAAATAGTGGCATACCAGACAATTATCACAAAGA